TTTTTTGTATTGCTTTGTTTTGTTTTTGTCTATACCAGTGCTTGGCAATGCCCCAATTCTGCATTCATACAGCAGTAATTAGTCATTGTAACCCTGTGGCACCAAACAGCCCTGTGGAAAACCCCATCCATGGATTTGTCTACTTACTCACTGGTGATTCCTAAACTTGGCCTGGGTGACTCTGCTATTCAGCAGTTCTGCTTGTCCCCAGCTCCCTTCTCCTTTCCAAGATTAACGCTTTCACCTGTCTTTTCATTGTACCCCAATGTCACCTCTTCACAAACCTTGAGCTATCAGTTATCCTACTCCTATATCTTCATCTGAATCTTCTGGGCTCGATTTTTCTTCCCACTGCAGATTGATAAGGTCAAGCCTTCTCTGTCCTAAAAACAACAAAGAAAAATTTTCTTTTCCCTACATGTCTTCCTAGCCTGTGGCATTATTTCTTTTCTTTCCTTCATAGCCAAGCTTCTTATAAACTTACCTATACTCACTGTTAGCCTCCTTATTTTTTTCCACTCTTGCTGTTAGTTCTCAGTCTCCAGTGACCTAATGGACCCTTGCTGTTAGTTCTCAGTCTCCAGGTTTCACCCTGGGAACTGAGCAGACAAACTTCTGCAGCTTCTAAGGCATTCCTAACTCTAAACTTTTTCTTTTTTCTCTGAAAGTTGCTTTTCAGATTCCTTTGCAAGTGCCCCTTTAAGTTTTGGAGTTGCTCCTGAACTTGGTCCCTTATTTCTTTCCTGACTTCTTGTGATTTCAGCAAACATTTATCTCTAGACTGGACCTCTCCAGAACTCTCCATTCATACACTATTTTTTTCTTTTTGGTGGTCCAGGGGATTGAACCCAGGGGTACTCTACCACTGAGCTACATCTCCAGCTTCTCTTTCCTTCCTTCCTTTTTCTTTCTTTTGTTTGAGACAGAGTTTTGCTAAATTGCCTACGCTGGTCTCAAACTGGAGATCTTCCTGCCTTAGCCTCCCGAGTTACTGGGATTATAGGCATTCACCTTAGCACCTAGCTCATATGCTGTCTTAGAGGATGCACTGCATGTATTCTCTCATTTATCACTGTTTCAGAGGCTGAAAGAGCCAAGGTCAAAGTGCTGCCAATTCTCACTGTGTCCTCACTAATCTCTTTATATGGGCCCTACACTCATTACCTTCTAAAGGTCTCTTCTTCAAATACTATATTGGACTTTAATTCATAAATTTGGTGGGGGAGAAGAAGAGGATACAAATATGTGGCCCATAACATGTACATGACAGCCTGATGGGATCTCCGTTCAGCTCTTATACACACTCTTACCATTTCAACACATGTAAAATTGAACTCATCCCCTTACCCACAATCCAGTTCCTCCCGAAATTTTCTTATAGGTGCCAGATTCCACCCAGGCACCTAAATCAGATATTTAAAAACTCATCCTGTGCATTTCCCTGCCACTGCATATCATGGACAAGTGTCCAGCTAAGCCTTGTGATTTCCGCCCCTAGAAGACCTTGCAGACTCCACTTCTCTGTTTCATTGTCACCCCTACAGCTTCAGCCCTCATGTTTCTCACCTTAAAGTATTGCTTTTTCTTGTTCCTTTTGCATCTATCCTTCCCTTTTACCCTATCTCTAGGGTGAAATTTTAAAGAATGAATGGTATTACTCATTTTTAATGCTTCAAAATAAGATTCTGACTCTTCTTGGTCAGGTTCCTCCAGGCAGAACCATTTGTGGTGCCCGATCTGCTGTGGATTTCCGAGCCTCTTTGTCTTTGCACCTGCCTTGCCCTGTGTCTAGAATGTCACCCACAGCCCTCCCTCCCCTATGCCTTCACTAGTATCTTCCTGCAGGATTTGCTTTCTTCCCTGCACAGGCTTTAAACTCCACCTGTTAGATGCTCCTTTCTGTTGTCCTGCACCTTGGATAGCTCTCCCATAGGCAACACAGCCTCAGCCTACAGCTATGGTTTCTGTATTTTTCCTCCATCAGACTGGAGAAGCATAAAAAACAGATTTGTCTTACTCATCTTTATGCACCATGTGCAGTAGATATCTATCATATACAATGCTTATTAAATAAATGAATGAAATAAGCATGTCTAATGCCCTCTAGTTCCTGTTTAGTGTATCAAGTTAAGATAGTTTAAACAGTTCAAAGCATCCCTGTGCCCACCCCCAATCTTGGTACTACTTCTTTATGTTACATTTAAGAACCCGTAGTGCCCCTATTCCATTAGTTTTCTGGATTTTCCAGAAAGGTTTTTATGCCTTTTCTTTTGCCTACGTTTCTCTATGCTGGACAGTTGGAGATTCCATATTTCCTCCTTTATTTATTAGGATCTAAAGATGGTCAAGAGCTAATGACCATTAGTTCTTTTAGGTCTCCTAGTATGCTAATAGGCACCCATAATATTTATAGCTGTTCCCCGTTCTAACAGATCTATTATTGTCCTATTTCATTAAGTCAACAAGACTGTGTGATCATTGAAGCCCCTGCTGAGCAGCAGAAAATCTTTCAGAAAGCAGTCCCCTGGTTTTGCTTTAGTTTGGGAATTGATTAGCACAGACAGAATGGCTGAGCAGTTTGGTTTCTTAGGACCTGCTCAGATCATAGATTTTCTGATCCCAGACAAAGTCATCTCTAAACCTTCTGTGTCTGGAGCTTCTCAGTCTTCATTGTGAGGATCCCTAAGGATAGAGAGAGGAGAGGGAGCCTTCTCTTATAGTTTGCTCTACTGTTTTGCTACCCTGTCACAATACTATGTCTTTTGTTGGTATTTATGAGACTCCTTCTCTGAGTCAGATCCTTAGGCAACAGATGAATGGGACACAGCCCTGGTCTTGAGTCTAGAAGGGAAAAGTGGGTATGTTCAATGCTGTGTGCTCAGTGCCCTGAAACACAGGTGCACGGAGTGCTCCTGGAGCCTAACTCCTCCTGACAGCTGATGGCAATTTCCCCTGCTCAGACCAATGTCCATTTCACCCTGATTATTCCTAGACAAGTGTGGAAAAAAAGATGCTTAGTATCCAGCAGCAGCCACCACCTAAACAACAGCTACGAGTTACCATAAGCCCAGTCTCTTGCTAACCCCTAAATGTTAAGGTCACTTCTGGATGGTTGTATGGTAAAAAACAGGTGGCTTCTATGCTCCCTGCCTGCTGGCTCATGAAAGAGTAAAAGAGCTGCTCCAGCAGGCCATGGTCAGGGCCATCCTTTCTGCTAAATACCTTTACAACACCTCAACAGGGCCACCTTCCCAGCTCCTGTAGCAGCCTGGAGAAAAAACAAGCAGACTGTTGACTTTTGAAACACCATGCTTATTTTCCCAGATGACTGGTTGGGTTGGCATAGGAAGAATTCCTAGAACTATTTGTTCTTTAAGACAGCCACTCAAATGACTGAGGCCTGGTGTTCTGCACCAGCACGAGCTTTAGGGTAGCAGTTCTCTATATCTATGGCTTGTGTCAACCTGCTCCGTTTTTCCAGTTAGTGCTTGGTCTCTGAAAACTTCCAAGAAATTGCATTCAAAGACAATAGTGATGAACCTAATCCCAAATACAGAGCAAGAAAATAGTTCCTGTGAAATGCCAAGAAATTATTTGGTGTTTTTAGAGAGACCAAGAAATAGAAAGGAACAAGAGATGAAGAAAAATAAGAATAGTGGACTTTGATACATTGATATTAAGCAGTATGCCGTGTGTATGTGTCTGGTGTGTGTGTGTGTGTGTGTGTGTGTGTTATGTGTGTGAGAGATTAAAGACCTGGTTTCAGTCATCAGAAGAAGGTGAGAAAGGTGCTAAGTGGAAAAATTAACTCAAAAAGCTGCCATCTCTATCTCCTAATTCCACTGCTTCCTGGAGGCCACCTACTCTGCATCTGCTCCTAGAGAGAGAATTAGAGTCAGTCCTGGAGTTTGATACTCTGCTAGGAGAGAGCTTAGATCTCCCCGCCCATACTCCTCAGTTATGGAACCCTACCTGTCCATCTGACTGGGCCTCTCACCACTGAAAAAGTTGGGCCCAAGGAGTAAGTGATTTGTTCTTATCCATCAGCTCATGAAAACCTGACTGGGGCAGATTGCCAGTCTCTGGACTCCCCTACAGGGTACTTTCCTTCAGCCTGATTTCATTCCTGCTTGAGATAGGGTCTACCTAAGTTGCTGAGGCTGGCCTCCTCCCAAGCTGCTAGGATTATGCCTGGTTTCCCTTTGTTTCTGAACTTTGTAAAGCTATTAAAATGGAAGCATCTTATTGGGTTGGAAAGTTACTTAATGTACTTGAGTGGAAAGATGTGTGAAAATGTAATAAAGCCCATGGTATCCCTTGGTTTGGCATAACTGAAAGCTGAAGTATTAGGTAAACACGACATTGTTTTTTTTTTTTTTTTAATTTTATAAGAAACGATACATTTTATTTTCCTGACACCACAGCTCTGGCAAGTGGTTTCGTACCAAATTTAATGGAGGTCACACAGAACGTTTTAAACATGGGAAAGGAAGGAGAGGAAAGAACCACAAAATTTAAAACAAAAACAAAATCCTAGATAGCATTTAGCATCTGTTCTACTCCCACGTTAATAAAATTCACTTTTAATTTTTATTAGGAATTCCTAGTAAGAAGAGAACAGAAAACAAGGTGGGCAGGGGAGAGTATGGTAGGGGAGAGAAAGGCTAAGGGAAAAGAGGCCAGGGGACACTCCTAGGACAGAGCTCTCCCTGCTGGGGCCAGGAGGACACTCGGCTTTGCTAGACTTATTTCTCCCAGTGGAGCACTAGATATTGCAGCTGCCAAAGGGAAGAGGAGAGGAGGGAAGCAGAGGGTCACCAGTGGGGGAATGAGGGAAGAGAACACCCTTAACTAAGACGGGAAGGGTGGGGAGAAAACTAGAGAAGATGAGATGGAGGGTTTGTATGTCAGCAAAGACAGTGCTGAAGAGCACTTGAGCTGAAGCAAGTGAGAGGACATTGCTCTTGATGTCACCATTCCCTTCCCTATTGTTTCTGCAGGCCGCCAGCTCACGGGAGCCGAAAGAGCCTCCACTGTCACTGCAGAGGAGACTGACATCGATGCAGTAGAGGTCCCACTCCCAGGGAATGATGTCCTGGAATTCAGCCGAGGTGTGACCGACCTGGATGCTGTAGGAAAGGAAGGAGGCTCCCACATGGACTCCAAGGTAGGCAGGAGATGGCCCATCCATTCCTGCTGCCTCCAGGATGACCTGTGTCACTGCTTAGCCTCAAGTCATTGCTGCCTCCTTGCTCCACAGCATGGTGGCAGTGATGGAGTGTTTCCTTGCTTTCAGAGGGGCCACACTTTTGTAGAGTCAACCCATTGTGCCAACATAACACTGCTGTGTGTCACAATGCCGCTGTGGAGCTCCTCCTTTTTTTCTTTTTGTTCCAGGGATTGAAACCAGGGGCACTTTACCACTGAGTCACATTCCTAGCCTTTTTAAAATTTTTAAAGAAAGGATCTTGCTAAGTTGCTTAGGTCTCAATGAATTGCTGGCCTGGTCTTGAACTTGTGATCCTCTTGCCTCAGCCTCTGGAACCACAGGGATTACAGGCATATACCACCATGTCTGGCTTGTGGTACTCCTTTCTTTCTGATGTGTGTTGTCCTTACAGGATCCCGTTGGTTTGTTTGTTCATTTTTTATTTTGAAATAGCCTCTTGCTAAATTGCCTGGGTTGACCTTGAACTTCTGATGCTCCTGCCTCAGCCTCCTGAGTCCCTGGGATTGCAGATGTGCAACTCTGAAACTGGTCCCACTGATTTTTGATTTCCTCCTTTTCCCTGCACAATCATTTCTGCACAATATTCATGCAAGGCTCATCCTGGACTACTCATATAATACACATAATTCCCTGTGGCTCAGCCAATGGAACCAAGTATACTTGGACCCCCTCTTCCTGCTTCAGTAATTATGTGTCTTTAATACTACTCTCAGGGTAGACATCATTACCTACTCTAACATCCTACAGATGAGATGACTGAGGCCTTGAGGAGCAACTAATATGATCCAGTTTAAAAAACTAAAAATGTGAGACTAAATTTAAAACTGAATACAACTAAAGTAAAAAGAAAAAAAATCTACAAACAAAACCCAGAAGGAAAATTATTATTTTTTTCACATAAGTACACATCAAGGTATTTATTATAATTATATAATGTATAAACTATACACAGTTTCATTTAGGATAATAACCTCTATTAAGAAAAGATAGAGGCAATCAAAATATTCTTTATAATTATTGATTTCAACTTTTAATTTTAACTTTCTATGATACATTTCACAATGTTAAATATTGTCAAGAGAAAAAGTAAATAGACAATGCAGAAGTTCAGCAGTGTGGCTCTTCTACTCACCATTTATTATTAGATATGTAATATTTTCCAAAGATATTACCCTTAGAAGGAAACCCACAGTCATTATCAGTGGCCTATAAGTAGTCAATATTTTTCAGGGCCAGGATTGTGGCTCAGTGGCAGAGCTGTTGCATGAGGCACTGGGTTTGATCCACAGCACCACATAAAATAGTAAACATAAAATAAAAGTATTGTATCTATCTACAACTAAAAAAATATTTTTCAGTCTGCATATAGATTTTACTTGTTTATGTTGAAATCATAGAGGAACCCCATCCTTCCAAAAATTATTCTCAGTATTTCTTTTTCTTTTTTTTCTTTCTTTAAAATTTTTTACTTGTAGTTGGACACAATATATTTACTTACTTATTTTTATGTGGTGCTGAGGATTGAACCCAGGGCCTCGAATGTGCTAGGTGAGCGCTCTACCGCTGAGCCACACCCCCCAGCCCCTGTATTTCTTTTATTACTACACTTTTACATCTCTGATTGGAAACTCAATTCTTGTCATATATCAGTTAGGCAACTTAGACCATTCGGAAGTAAAGTAATGGTCTATGTCCAAAAAAAAAAAAATACTAGGATTTGTTGACCATAAATACAAGATCACCCAAAAAGTAAATTTAAAGTCCCAGACCTCCTTCCCTACTCCTCAATGCCTATTCCAGGGATGGCGAGATGGTAATTTTATAGTTTAGATTAGACTATATCTTCAGAAGGAAAATTATTGACCAATAGCCCCTTAGATTCCCGGCCAGCTTAATGAATCATGGATACCTCTTTCCCTGTCCTTCATTCACCTTATCTCAAGTCAAGATTTTTAGGCCAGTTCATTAAAAGGAGAATTCCATATAGTGTGGAAGGCAGTACCTGATGATCTCTTTGGTGTCCGTTGAGTCCTCTACAAGGGGCAATAGCCCTCTGTCCCTGAGTGCCTTCCTCTTTCATGTCTGAAGAGGGACCAGCTGCAGGATGGCCAGAAACAAAATGTGGCTTCCTGTCGTTGAACTCTTGAGTCATAGGAAAGAGTCCAACAGGAGGAGAAGCCAGAAACTAGTGTAATCTGACAGAGGATCTCTCCAGATCATTTGTTTTCAAGTCCAAACTTTCTTCCTCAGTGTTCTCACTGTGAGAGGAGGCCGTGGGGGACTGAAGGCAGCTGCCCCTCACCTGGCTTCTTTCTCCAGTTTCTAACTCATGAGAAACATCTCAGACCCCAGAGGAAGGAAAGAATAGAAGCTTCCTTCTTCCTAGTCTTTTGGTAATGTGGTAGGTAGCCATGTTTTATAACTCAACAACAGGGTATAATTTGAAGTAGCAGATTAAAGATGGGACTTTATCACCTGCCTGTCTCCCATCCAGTGGGATCAGTTATTGAGATGTCCAGATACAATTCTGGGTGGTCTACCCTCAGGCAGTGACGCCGTTTCTTCCCTAGAACCCCATTTACATTCCATCCAATACACAGCATCTCCAGCTCCTGGACTGTAAATCAGCCATTTCACCCTGCCTGTGTACATGTCGTCAATAGGATAGGGAAAGTGAGGCCCTGGATCGTGGCTCCTGTCCATGTGTCATGTCTTCTTTTCAGGTCTCACCCCATCCTCAGGAGCCCACACTGACAGCTTCGCCCCGCATGCTGCTTCCTTCTTCTTCCTCGAAGCCACCAGGCTTGGGCACAGGGACGCCGCTGTCCACCCACCACCAGATGCAGCTCCTCCAGCAGCTCCTCCAGCAACAGCAGCAGCAGACGCAAGTGGCTGTGGCCCAGGTTCTCCTCAGCCTCCTCCCTACTTCACAGGCTCCACTCTCATGGGCTTGATGCGCCTTCCCTAGCAAGGGGCTCAGGGCAGGTTTAAAACCTAGGGAGCCATAAAGAATCGCTCATGCTATTGGATCATTGCTTGTTAGGGAGTCAGGGAGGTGGAGGAGAAAAGGGGAGAGACGGGGGTGCTGTTGAAATGGAAGGGCATATTCTGATTTCCCATGTATCCCCCGCTCTGAGTTGGGCTTGGCTGGCTTGGCTGAATGTTGTTGAATAATGACTTCAATTTACCGAGGGAAAAGATGCGCACAATTCCACCCTTCCTTTCCTACCTTGTTTTCCTGGTATTTAGGTTAGGAAGGGATACCTCTGAAGTCAGGACAGGTATGACTCTGTGATATCACTCTTAAAACAGCTTCAAGTATAAATCTGTGCCAAACATTCTTCCAAAGAGTATTGTTATGGCATCCCAATCTACTTGTTTATAGCAAGTTTCCAAGCCTCCATTAGTGATCTACTTACTCAAAGCAGTATTTGATACAGAGTTGACCTTGGAATTCATCATATGGGATTGAATTTACAGGAATTTAGGTGGATTATTTGAGCCTTAATAAGAAGAACTATCTTACCCCTTAGGATTGAGATAGTGTTTATGCACTGAAAGTCTTGTTGGGCTACTGCTACTTGTTAGGAGAAACTTGAGCTAATTTCTCTTGCTGTTTGCTTTCCATGAAAGGCACATTCTCCTAGGAACCTATGAGTCTAAGCCTTATCTCTACCATGGGTAATTAGGAACTGGTGAAGATGCATCTGTTTATTCCATTTAAAGGCTAAATCCTGAGATCAGTTTCAGACAGGGTCAGGACCAGAATGAGTGGCTAAAGATAGGTGGAGGATGTGGTGGTCAGGGTTTGGCAGAGATGGTGAGAGATCTGGAAAGGCAGAGATATGCATCAGCATTCTAAATCAGCTTGGGCAAACTTATTGCTCAGGTTTTCTGCAGTCTAAAATGAAGGGAACAGACTACTTCTGGGTATACTTATTGTATCTTCTGCTTACTCTTCTCCTGAATTCTGGGTGGAACAAGTTCTCCAAGCAGAGCTGTCCTTTCCAATGGTAAACTTTGAGGGAGCATTGGCGGTCTAGCCATATTGGATTTGCTGTGACTTGGTCTTGAAAAGAACAGTCTCCACTGACCTGAGCCTGTAGCACCAGTCTCATTGGTGATTTTGCAGTAGGTTTCAGAAGAGTAGGCCCACTGCCAATGTACTAGATTCTCCTTAAAAATACTTACCATGAAAAATTCTGATCAAAGGATGTGTGGTGGTTGTAGGAAGATTTACAGGTGTTTCCAAAACAGTGACAGAGGAAGGAATGTCATTTGTGGCTTCTTATGTTTGGGGGGGAAAAATCATTCCTCTTTGTCAGATAAAATAATTGATCTCCTATGGTAAATGATGGTGTGGCAGTCTGAGGATCCCCTCTTCCTTAGCATGGGGGATGACAGGAGCACAAAGCCAGAGTGCTCTAGCACTGGGTCCATTCCGAGACACATCATTTCCAAAAGTTTCCCATTGAATATAAATTCATTCTCCAACCATAATTCTTTTCTCTTTCAGCATATCAATTGCCAAGTAATTATTATTTATCTAAGTGTAGGCTTGATGCATATTCATGATATTATTAGAAAGGCATTTGAATATGAAGTCACTGCTATGTACTAAAGACAAATTATTTGCAAATGCACAATCTACGCACAATAAGAGTGTTGTGGGGGTAAAAGGAAGCACTCATCTGCAAAGCAATGAGACCTATAACTTATCATAGGTCTATCTCAGCCAGGATGAAATCAGAAGAATGGTTTTCTGGTATAAAATCAAGCATCTGTCTCAATGGGACATCCCTGCCGTGCCCTGTTCTAATTGCCTCTCTTCCGAGAAGACAGTGAATCAGGAGGAAGAGAACAGTGTGGTGTTTGGGATTCATTTCATTAGCCTCTCTCAGTTCCAGCCACTTCTGCAGGCTGGGCAGCCTTAGCCTCTCATTCATTTGGAATCTGTTGGACATAGTTGGCAGTGCCCTGCTTTACTCTCAGCTCAAGCAGTGACATGATGAAAAGCCTCAAAGCATCCACATCTCATATTGGTACAGTGACTTTGAGTACATTGATAGACTTCCAAACACTTCAAATGAGACAGGACATTGAGATCATATGCTAGCTGCTTGAGCAATTCTTATACCCCTCTCTGCCATCCCCATCAGTCAGTCTCTGACCACCTTCCTTCTGTCTGCATCTTGCTTTTACTGCCTAGGAACACAGCAAGGATATTGTTCTATCACTCAAAAGCTGGCTTTCCACTCCTGGTCCTGCGACAGATTCAGTTCTAAACTGGCATTCAGGCTTCTGAATTCCAGGCTTCTCTGCACTCTTTCTTCATCTCACTTTGTAGGATTTGGTCTAAGCACTTTTTGTTAATATCCAAATCCTTGGATAAAAACAATTATGTCAGATACGTAGGTGAGTTACTAGGTAGGTCATCTTAGTGTCTTTAACACTATGAAATAAACCAACTACAGTGTGCTTGGTTTCTCCACATAAGTAGGAGTGATTTTCATTTCTAGCATGAGGTCGGTTTTACTCATTCTGCCAGACTCTATTGCCAGCAAACTGTGAGGTTTCTATCTTTCATCATTAAAATACCAGCAGTATCCAGAATTTCAATGATCAAAACTGTGACCTCAGAATTTCAGGTGGGAATATATGTTCCTTTTCTCTGTGAGCATCTGAGCTCTCCTATGTTGATCCTGAATAAAAACTTAAGGATCAGGCTCCAGTTTCTTACAGACAGGTATACTCTTGTGGTCACTTGTTATGTTATTTATGTTCCCTGCCCCATTGTTCCCAGCCAATCTGGTTCTGCTCTTATCATTGGGACTAGGCTCAGGTCTCTTTTGTGGTGTTTTGATTTGGTGTAGGACCTCAACCTCTCCTGGTTTTATCCTAAATTCATTCAGAGCTGGTCTTAAGGGGCCTGCCCTAGCCTTAGAGGTACAGGGGTAAAGGGTAGTGTTCAGTCAACTCTTAAGTACTTCCAAGTCAGTCATCAGTGTGTAAATAGTGAATTACCCAAGTCCCTCTGACCACTCTCCCCAATCCAGCATGAGCCTTGCCTGGCTGCACTGGCTCCCTGCTTTTAGATGGACCCGAAGTTCAAGAGTGTGAATGTGATTATAATCACACCTTAGATCAAACTTGGAATGTAACTAGTACCTGCATGGCTGTGGACTGGGTCTACATGGCTCCAAAATTGATCTGGGCATTGTGGCTAACTGTTAATAGCTAAGTAGGCCAGATCTGTTCAGTTTGCCAATTCCTGGCCCAGCTCATGGGAGAATATAGTGCAGCTTAGTATTGTTATTTAAAGATTTCTCCTCTACCTGCTGCCAGTTCTGCTTGTTTAGGAATCAAGTAATTAATTATTTATGCTTTGCAATCGTGTGTGCTGTAGTTAGACAAATAGTGCTAAGAATGCTCCCCATCCCCACCCCAGGCCCTAGATTTAGCATCTGTCCTGTGCTTCTCCCAGTCCCCAGCACCCTGGTATGTATTGCCCAAGTTCCTGCCTCATGCATGCTGAGACAGCGCTGCCTGCCTCTGCTGGTGTGTGTAGTGTGTGTGAGAGCAAATTGCTCTGGTTCTTTCCACTGCCATTTCCATGTGCCTACTGCTCCCTAACTTCAGCCTGGCCCTGCCCCCACTTCTGATGGAGGAGCTGGAGTCCAGGCAAGTAGGCTAGAAAGTGAGTGGGGCCATGGTCTGATGTGGCTGGGTGGGTTGAGGGTGGGTGTCAGAGTTTGGGGAAGCAGCACAGAGCTGGAGAGTGAAAGGTTGAATGTACACATGTTATGCTGTGGCTAGGATGCAGACCTGGACACTAGCATGAGTGTGGCCTTGGTGCCACATCACCATGTTGCCTTTGTCACTGACTTAGTCTATGAGTGAATAATCATTGCCAAAGATGACACAGCTCTGGAAAGAATACACTAACATGTTCCTTTTCAGAAATTGATACAGTCTACCTTTCTGAAAGGCATTTAATTCTTTGCAAGGAAAGTAAGGTAAATACAAATAAGCATCCCATTTGGGAAGGAGGGGTGATGCTTTCTGCTCCTGTCCTATGAATAGGGAAGTAAAGCACAGTGAGCCATAGCACACTGTCCAGACCAAGGCCGGAAGTAATGCTGCTTCATTCCAGCATTTCCAGGTCAAGTCCATATATACTTTGCCTCAAAGTTAAAAGAAGTCCTGGCCATTTTGTCCCCACTTGACCTGATTTGGGTTCTCCTGCAGCACAGACTGCCACAGCTGAGGTTTGAGCCTCATGCTTTTTGTCACTTGTGATGGCTGTAGAAGGAGAAGGGCTCGTTAGTGCTAGTTTGGGGCAGTGACAACAGCATTTACTTTTCACATTCTCAAGGTTTAAAACACCTGAAATGGTATAACTCTGTCTGCACATGTAAAATTCTTATTTAGTCTAGGACAAGGCGCACTCAAGTTCAGGAATGTGTTCTCATGGCACTTAGTGCCAGTGGATTTGCGATGGCAGCATTTGTTTCCAGGGTCTTCTTTCGAAAGAGTGTTGATGGCACTCCACCATTGGAACTTGGATACCTGCAAAGGAAGATTCTCACTTCTTTCCCCCTATCTTCTGCAAGAAGAAACCACTCTTTTGTCCTAAATCCTAATTCTCAGAAGTCACATTGGGTAACTGGTGACTCTTTTTCTGTGAACCTATAGCAAGTGGCCCCTAGTACTGGCCACTGTGTCTCCCTGGAAGTGGAATCAACTGTACAATCCCACAGCTAGCCCTTTCAGTTAACAGATGGAGAAGCTAAAGTTCAGAGAGAAGCAAGTTACCTGTAGTTGGCCAGGAAGTAACCGACAGACTCCAGCATTTCATCTCCTGGCCCAGCACTTTTAAATGGCCTGTTCTGTTGGGGTGTTCAGATTGGGATGCAAGGACCTGAGCCTAGTAGATGTATGCAGGGAGCCCTAAGAGATGCCAGTTAGTGGGATATGGGATTCTCTGCTTTCTCATTTATATCCACCGAAAAATTTGTTCCGTATTTCTGCCTGACATTTCCATTTGGTTCTAAAGGAAGTAGAAAATGAATAATGAACAATCCTATTTGTTCGGTAGATTCCTTTCAATTATACTCTTAGTTTAAATAAGTAACAGAACTCACAGGTGGAAGGTTGAGCTGGACTTTCCTCCAGGGGCATGTTTGAGGGCTTCTCACAGCAATTGCCCTCTTCCTTATAACCAGTAGGATTTGGGAGACTCCCAGGAGACACTTTTCCATGCCTCATTTACCTAGGAACATAAAGGTTTAATAACCTCCTACCATTTGGTATCTAGATAAAATGTTATTGACACTTCTTTTCCTATTCAGACCTTCCCTCAGTTTATATGAAATAGCAAATAAAGCGGACATCTTGACAAAAAAATCAGTTCTGTCCTTAGCAATTCCTTGTGAAGGACAGATTTACTTTAGATTCCTTGGGCACTATCTTCCTTGGGGAAGGATGAGCCCAACCTCATGGAGCACAAATGAAAAGTGGCAGCTAATCTCATTAGGGACTCAACTTGGCTAGAAGCAGAGCCAACTACAAGGTCAGGTCCTCAGATCTTGGCAAAGAGAGAGGCAGCCACTATACCAAACAGTGTAATTTTCTTGGTATTGGCTCTTGGAAGGGACAGATACTGGGGGCTGGTCTCTTAGTTGCAGTGTGAGATAAGGATGGTCTTTTACTCCCTGACAAAATGTGAGTCTCTGGAGCAGGTTGCTTTTCAGAAATCTAGAATCTTTGTTATCCGAATAAGAAATCAGCTGCCTCCCTTCCATCTTTGTCCCCACTCCATACCTCACCTACCCTGACTGTTTGTTTACACTATGTTTTGGTCCAGGAAAACCTTCTTCACCATAGCTGCCGTGGTCCAGGTCGCCAAACTCACTAGTTTCCTTTCCTCAGAGGCCTTCTGAAACCCTCTCAGAGACTCCCTATCCACCTTTTAGCACAAGATTGTGGACATTATTATTGGCCTTGTGACTCAGTTTCTTCAAGCCAGAAGCCTGATATAATTGCCCCATATCCTCCCACTGAGTTTTAGCTCCACTTGGAGATTACACACTAAGAACAGGCAGTAGGTAACACTGCCCACTGAGGGTGCATTTGCTGGCCGCTCTATCATAGAATGTTGTGAATTGTTGGAGCTTGCCATAAACATCCATTTCAGCCTTTCAAGGGTTGTCAAAAGAGGCCTTGTTATCAGTCACTCAGCAAACATTTGACTCCTTCCAGGAAGAAATAACTATCCCAAGTGTCAATATGGGAAGTAACAAGGAAACAGATAATTGGGCAGAGAAGTTGGCATCCACAGACATGAGAAGGAAGGCTTTATTACAACCAGCTCACTAATTTAGTGCTTCCTAGCTCTTGTTATTTTTGTGCACAAGGAGGGGAAAGGAAAAGATTATATGGGGGTTGTTGTACCACTGTTTCTTAGTGAGCAGGTTAATGTATGAGTTTTTGTTTTTTAAAAGATAAGATGAGAAAAGGGTACCTCCCTCAACATGGCAGTGCTATGTTGAGTGCAGGAGGAGTTTTCACAGCAGGGCTGGATGGAGGGCAGTTTTGTGGTGGGGTGTGGCCCTTTCCTGCCTCTTTTCCTTGTTGTGGGGCTCACAGTAGTACCTGAGTGATGCATTATGGCCCTCCTCCAGACAATCAGAGAGACCCACAGGGGCCATGACCAAGCTGCTTTTGGCTCCTCCTCCTAAATTACAAGCTGAGGAGCCTACTTCATTGTGAAGGGCTTTGTCTTGAGTTGAATGTAGAGGGCATCTCTGGTCCTAGCCACCCACTGGCAACTCTCATTTGCATTCATGTCCCTCTCTTCTCTTTGTCCTGTCTTCTCTCTGTCTTCCCTTCCTCCTCCTTTCTGCAGGTTCACTTGCTGAAGGATCAGTTGGCTGCCGAGGCTGCAGCTCGGCTGGAGGCCCAGGCCCGTGTGCACCAGCTTCTGCTGCAGAACAAGGACATGCTCCAGCACATCTCGCTGCTGGTCAAGCAGGTGCAGGAGCTGGAGCTGAAGCTGTCAGGACAGAATGCCAGTAAGCCAGAGCCCTGCCCAGCCACACCTCCTTGTATGCAAGCTCTGGAAAACACATGCTATTTTCCTAAAGCTTTGGGGGATGCTTTATTAGACCTCTGACTTTGCCTTTATATTCCAGCAGAAAATAGGCAGCTTTGCTTATTTTGTCTGTATATTCATGAATTACAAAATTGCAGGGCCAGAGTAAACGTTGGGTGCCTTCAAACCCAGCAGCCTGACTTGGCCTTGACTAGGAGTCACTGCCACATGCTCTCTATTTGATGGGGGCTTAGGCATCCTAAGGCATCCCATTTCTTTCTGAGAGGGCTTTTCCAATCAAAATATATTGAGCACCTAATAGGTGTCATGTTCTCTGTGAATTCTGTGAGAGTCCTCAAACTGTCTAGTAGTTGACTCTCTCTGTATGTATTATATATTTCACAACTCTCCTGCATAGAAAAATCTAACAGTATGTCCACTTACTAGATAAGGAAGCAGAGTAAATAGAGAGACAGCTTTGCTGCTCAGTGGTGGAAGTTGCCCAGCACCTAGCCTGAAGTGCTACCCCCACCCAGGCACCTCCAGTCTGGGCTGGGAAGCAGTGAAGGTGGTGCATCACTGTGTCTTCACCTTGGTTGTACTTATGGGTTATATGCATTCTCAGAGTCCATGTTGGCTGCAGAAATATCCACTGATCACCTCTTGTGCCATAAACTGTGATAGCATGTTTTATGTGAGCTCATTTAATCCCTGTGTGGTAGATGTTATTATACTCATTTTATAGAAGAGAAAAGAGACTGCTAGAGGTGAAGTAACTAGTTCAAGCTACAGCACTAGCAAGGGGTGGAGCCCAGATTCATTCCCAGGTCTAATTACAAAATTAATGTTTTTCAAACTATATCAGTAATTCCCCCAAACTATCCTATGAGCTTTTTAAAAATTGCATATTATAGGATCCCCATCAGTAGGTCTAGGGCAGGGCCACAAGTCTGTATTTATTTATTTTTGTGAAGCTAGGGATTATACCCAGAACCTTATAAATAGTGGGTAAGTACTGTGCCACAGACTTACATCCTCAACGCTTGAGTCTTTATTTTTAAAGGGGCCCAAAGGTATGAGCTCTGAGCCCCTGTGCTTCAATATTGTGTAAGCCTCTCTAGATGGTTCAGATTTTTGTTTGTTGAGACCCTGCTCTGTCCTAACTAATGCTGATTTACAAGGTTATACTAAAAAAGTTACTGCATGCTTTTAGTATGGTTCTCTGAACTGGTACTTTTTTCCTTGCCATAAACCCCATTCAAGGCACTCAGTAGCCTTCCCCAAATCCTCACATGGTTCTCATTGCTCTGCGTTTACTGCTCTCAGGAAGCCCCTGCAGCCAAATGTCTGGTGCTTTGAGAGTGGGAAGAGGAGGTTCCAAATGCTTAGCCCAGCCAGGTGCTGCGTTGTTGGTCAGGGAAGGACCCATACAAGGGCTCGGACTGTAGGGAAGGACAGCTTCCCAACCAGAACCTCGCCTGACGTTGCATCCCCTCTCCCTCTTGTTTCACTACAGTGGGCTCCCAGGACAGCTTGCTGGAGATCACCTTCCGCTCCGGAGCCCTGCCTGTGCTCTGTGATCCTATGACCCCCAAGCCAGAGGACCTGCATTCTCCGCCATTGGGCGCAGGCTTGGCTGACTTTGCCCACCCCGCGGGCAGCCCCTTAGGTAGGCGCGACTGCTTGGTGAAGCTGGAGTGCTTCCGCTTTCTCCCGCCCGAGGACACCCCACACCCTGCGCAGGGCGAGCCGCTCCTGGGTGGCCTGGAGCTCATCAAGTTCCGAGAGTCCGGCATCGCCTCTGAGTATGAGTCCAACACGGACGAGAGCGAGGAACGGGATTCGTGGTCCCAGGAAGAGCTGCCGCGCCTGATGAATGTCCTGCAGAGGCAGGAGCTGGGCGACAGCCTGGATGATGAGATAGCCGTGTAGATGCGAGCGAGGAGACTGCCAAGGTGGCAGCTGTGGTGTGTGGTCGGGCCATGTCTGTCTGCTGCTGGTAGGGAGATGCCCTGTGAAGGCACACTGCTGTGGATGACACCCAGGGGCCCGGAGAGTGTAAGGCTTCAGAGGAGGATTAGGATTTCACTTTGGAAGGTAATTGGGGGAAGAAATTGGATTCCCAGAGGCAGATCAGCTTGTGTCTTTACCTGTGACTAAAGGGTGGTGGAAACAGGGCTTTCCAGAGCCCATAGTTTGGGGAAAGGGTCCCTCTTCAGGACCACCTGGCTGCTGGAAGACCCCCACCCCTACCCATTGCACTATCAGGCTCCTCTGCTTCCTTGTGTGATGCCCCAGTGGCCCTTTCATTCTCCCCACCTCCTTGAACCTGACCTTAAAGGGAAGCCACTGGTACCTTCTCAGGTACTTTGGATATCAGGATGCTAAGAGTTGCCTAACCCTTCCCTGACCTTAATGGGAGAGTTCCTTCTCCAAGCCCTTGCTGACATTACAGAGGTTGAATGCTCTGAGCTGCAAGTCAGACTGTTCCTTTCAATGTGAGCATGGAATTTGGATGTGTCATAAGTCACAGTGAATAAGCTATTAGAGAAAATTGAATCCAAACATTTTCTCTAGCTGAATGTTAGATGTTGCTTCAGAGGGAGCCTGGGACCATTAACATCATTCAGACCCTTGATATGAGAGAGCCCAGGGGGAGGACAGCCTGTTTGCTACCACAGATCCCTTAGGTCTTACTCTTCAGTTTGGAAGCCCTGCCCTGCCTGCCTCCTGCCGGCAGCCCAGCTTGTACAAACAGACGATTGGAAGTGCCCAGTGTTCTGCCTCAGGCTGTGCCAGACAAAGCTTTTGCAGCCACTTTGCCTCTGTGAAAGTCTCAGAGACCCAGAGCCCCTGCCTTACCTCTCACCTCTTCCCTCCACTGGGCAATAGTGGTCAGTTTTTACTGTAAACAAGCAAAATGGATGTAAACTGATAACTGAGAATCACTGCCACTTGGATCAGGGACCATAGCCATGACACCCTGGCCCATCTATCTGTGGGTGCGTGCCTTGAGCACACTTATAAAAAGTGCCATGTGCAACACTTATCTTTTACCATCTAGGCCTTGCCTAGGGATCTCCACTTGTAACAGACTGACTAGGCATGCAAGGAAAAGCTCCTTTTGCTCCTGTAAGGCCTTAAGTGGTTGTTAACAGATATTCAGATGCCAGAAAATAGGGCTCAGATATGCTTGAGTCATATTTTGGGGGGAAGAAGTCTTCATCCTGGGCCACAAACTACAGATCAAACTGAAGTATTATTATGGGGCCAATTGATAAGGATATAATTGCCCCAAATGGAGTTCTTCAACCTCAGCTTTACTTTGGAATTTATCTAAATGCAAACTCAGCCCTTTCGTAAAAGCCACTGTTGGATTTCTTCTAGATTGGAAAATCCAAATTAAAGGAAATAAACACAGCTTTAAATAGACCTCCCTGGTGCATGAGGGTGTCAGTGAAAGTAGGATGGGATGCTGTGTGTGTATGTGTGTGTGTGTGTACTGACTGCAGCCTTGTAAGAAGTAATGGGAGAAAAGCGAAAAGAGATCTCCAGGGATCAACAATAGATTTTTTTTTCATTTTCCTAACATGAATCTAGTTGGAGAGTCATGGTTTTATGTGTTATATTCTCTAATTAACCATTGAAAGTAGGTCCAGTTATACAGGGAAGGAAGAACCAGGAACATGAGATTTATAAAACTAAAGGAGCAACTGTCAGAAATCCAGTTTGGTTCAGCCTAGCTGGTTTATGAAATCTTAACTCAGGATTCCTTGAGTCTTGGAACTTTGATACCATCAGGATTTTGACCATAAGAGTATTAGAAGGTCTTTTTCTCAAAGCCCACTGCCAGAAGCAGGAGCTGAGGATAAAGCCAGAAGCCAACGGAATAGGTGTGTGGACTGTGGATGGAAATGCTTATATAGAATGAGGTGGGGAAGAAAGTGTCTATAAAACCATCTCAAAAATCTTATGAAGGGAAGGGACAAATGGAGATGAGATTAAATAATTAGAGTAAGTTATCTGTGATGCTGACTTAGGACCCATTCAAGACTTTTACCCTTGGTTGTTTTTTGTTTTGTTTTGTTTTTTGTTATTGTTGAGTTTTTGCCTCTATCTCTCCCTATCCCTGATTCAGGCCCTTCCTGGGGCATTCATTCATTTGTTGGCACCTTCCCTAGCGTGACTCAAATATGTGCACACTTGGTTTCTGGAACTGGAGATGAAGGACAGATCTAGAAGCCTTGAAGTGCCGCCACCCATCTTACCTTCCCTGGGGCCAACTGGGCAGGAAAGGAAATGTTGCAGACCTGATCGCCCAGCGATGTCTCTCTGTCCTCCTCCCTCCTTGCTTCTTGCTTTGCTAACTCAACTCGGCCTTCCTCTTTTTCATCTCTGCCCTATATGGAGGACATGTGGACACCAGGGTCCCCTACATTACTGGTGCCCAGCCCACCCCAGGTGCCAGCAGACTCTTGGGCACACAAGGCTCTCAGAGCTGCAGAGCTAGAAAAGAATTTCTCTGCACAGGATGGACTGTATATGGGGACTAAAAACTATATTCCTTATATTCCTGCTTATATGCTATCTGTAAAACCTCTTTCTAGTCTCACTCCTCTCAACTGATCTTGTTTAGGAGTTGTATGCCTTTATTTACTCTTTGCTTGACTGCTTCCTCCTACTTGCCTATCCTGCCTCCCTCAGCCCTCTATTTCCCAAAACTGTTGTCATTAACTCTGTTGGATCAACTCTCTGGGAAAAGATTCTGTTAATGTAAGTGCACTTACTCCCTGGATGTTGTCACTAGTCTAGTGGCTTTTGCTAAATAAACCTTTCATATTTCTAAAAACTTGTCTTTTCTTGCTGCTTCTATTTCACTTGCTCCTTCTGTTCCTCTCTCTTCCACACAGTTTCCAAGCCAGGCAGCATCAGCTCTGTGACATGGTTCCCAAAGGTATGGGGTTTAGGAAAAATTCAGTCTCCTGAAGGAGTGGGGGCGGTGGTGTCCTCTGTTGCAGTGTATATAGAACACCACTAGTCTTAACTGGGAATAATTTGCTCACCAGGGGACATTTGACAAATGTCTGGAAACATTTTTGTTAGCCACAGCTAGGGGAAGGATGTTCCTGGCATGTAGTGGGTGGAAATCAAGGGTACTGCTGAATATCCTGTGGTACATAGGAGAGAGAGCCCCCTGCAATGAAGAGTTATACTGTGTGGGTGGAAGTGGAGTTGAGTCTCATTTTTGTAGTTCCAGGGGTTAAGCCCAGGCCTCATGTATGCTAGGCAAGTGCTATACCACTTATCCTCAGCCCTTTTTAAATTTTGAGATAGGGTGTCTCTTAAGTTGCCCAGGCTGGCCTTGAACTTGTGATCCTCCTGCTGCAGCCTCCCCAGTAGCTGGGATTACAAATGTGTGCCACCATGTCTGGCAAAAGCAGAGCTTTGAATGCATGAAGAATTTCTATATAAGATAGTTCCCAATATAGCTAAGATCAAGATTATACAATTTCACTGACCCACTTACTGAATGTCTGAGGTATGTACTTGGTGGGAGTCTGAATGGAGGAAAACAGGTTCCTCTCCATACCTACCTGGAAGTATTATGGCTTCATTGCCATATAGTTCTGTAGAGCAGTCCTGACTCCTGGGAAAGTGAGCTCTCCTGCATGCAGCAGAAATGAAAAGGAGGCACAAAACTGGGGAAGGAAGTGAGCCCCAGAGGCTGGGGTTGTGGCTCAGCGGTAGAGCACTTGCCTAGCACGTGCAAGGCCCTGGGTTCGATCCTCAGCACCACTTAAAAATAAATAAACAAAATAAAGGTATTGTGTACAATTAAAAATAAATATTAACAAAAAAGAAGTGAGCCCCAGAATCTCACATAACAGCCTTCACCTTTTATCTTTTGACACAGGATCTGGTCTCTCTAAATTGCCCAGGCTGGCCTCTAACTTGGCAATCCTCCTGCCTCAGTTCCCCCAGTTGCTGGGATTACAGGCATGTACTATGACTCCCAGCTTTCCCGCCCCTTTTGATATGATTCAAAATAGCAATGAAAAGATGTATCCAGGGTCAAGGTGCCTCTATTCTTCAGCAAGAGATGCCCATTCTAAGTGAATGATTGTGGTGAATATTTTGAGGACGGGCCTGGCCCTCTTCATCTCTTTCTGCATTAATTAAGCTCAGGAGTGTTTTATCCCACCCCCTCAGAAGATCTAACATCTAGGAAGCCTGTCAAACTGCAGGGATTCTTCCCCCGCAGACAGGGGAGGATGCCCAAATTCTCCTCCCCAGTATAGATCAAGGACTGATCTTATAGGATCAGACTGATCTTTTAGGACCAGAAGTCCAGGATCCTAGAACAGAGGTTCTCATGTCTGACCTGCTTTAGTGTCACCTAGAAGACTGGTTAAGGGTGGCTAAGCTCCCACCCTAAAGTTTCTAACACAGTAGGTCTGAGTGGAGCCTGAGAATTTTGTTTCTAACAAATTCCCAGGGGATGCTAATACTGTTGTCTTGGAGCCTTTCACTTAGAGAACCACTGTCTTGGAGGATAGACCCAAACTTCAGGAATTGTCTTTATTTAAAAGGAGCGGGAAGGGCAGGCTGAGAAATGGGCCTTGTGCTGTTAGGCAACCATTAGAAGAAGGGGTGAGGACTGACTGTACT